ACTCTTAAAATGTTCTATCTGTCTTCATCCACAGTAGTCCTGGGGCCATTTATCTGGTATAACTAGGGCTTTTCCCACTGTCCAGTTCTTCTCCTGCCTGATCTGAAACCTCATAGCTCATAATTTTGTCTTGTTGACCTTTTCTTCCACCCTCTTGGTTCAAGAGGAACTTCATAACGTTTCTACGCTTTTGCTTGTTCTTGTATTAAAAAGGAAGCACGCAAGGCTAGCCCCACTCCAGGTTTGTCAAAGGCTGGCCCCAAAAAGGGGAAACTGCCATAAATTGGCTGCCTGAGATGAATGCAATCAGGTTGTAGGCACACTTTTAGGATCCAATGTGAAGGGACAAACAGTGCTAGAAGAGTCCTAAGGGACAAACCAGCATTGTTTTATTATGATTGATACAGCACTTAGAAATAACTTTAGAAGCACTTTATAAAAGGATAAAAATAAGTAGATCTTTGCCCCAAACCACTAGAAAAGGTCAAAGACAAAAGAGAGAAGTGGGCTTGGGTAACAGAGACGATATAATGGTTTCCTAAAACAGTACACAATAAAAGCAGGCCACAGCCAGACCAGGTTGCACACTTTAAAAGTCTCTGTTCTGATAGTGAGATTCAAGGAAATGTTGCCTGAAACCAGAAAAGTGCTCAGCTAGGCTGCAGCATGCTCATTATTTGGGTTTAGGAGCCTAATTTACAATTTCATTATAGAAATGGAGAATATTAATGAAGGAGAGAAAAGGTAGGGTATTATAGAGGATTGAATATTAGGTTTAGCATTCTGAATACATGGGGCAGCAAAGAAAATGGGAGGAGCTGTTGAGTCACATATACATAAGCAAACACATAAGTGGAAAAGAGAGGAGGGCTGTTTTACAAGAATAAGGGGCTTGCTCAGCAACTAGATGAGCATCAAGACATCAAACCAGACTTAATTCTACCTAACTCTAGACTTCAGACAAACGAAATATCTTTTAAAACAGATTCCTGTTAATGCTGGGTTTTGGCACAATACTGTAGCCATTTCAGTAAACCACCTGGAAATCATCACTATCTCCAATGACCAGTTCCCTCCTTTAGAATATGATCACCAGCACAACACAAATCAGCTGGAGGTGGTCTTCACTTATAGGGCAACCCCACCCATCTACTCAGGTGCAAGCCACTCTAAGTTCAACAGGGCTTTTCTCCAGGTAAGTGGGTGAAAAACTGAAGCAATGGAGCTAAGTTAGGTAGAATTAAGTTACTCCATGGGACGCAGTCTTAATACAACTGGTGCCAAAGGCTGAACATGTTCTAAAACACTAGCATCCTGAGGTAGCCAACTTTGAACTGTGGGGATCCCTCTTTTCTTAGCTAACAGTCAAATGATGGAGGCGTCATCTACCACAAAAAGTGAGCCCATCACAAGCAGCCTCTGTGAATGGATCTAGCATTACAGAGTGTGTGCAGACCGACACCTCCACATACACCGTTTTATAAATGAGAGACCAAGAGAACTTGGCAATACAACCCACTCCCTCCTTTTAAAGCGGAATATGTTTTAATTGGATGGGATGCCGTTAAGCTACCGGTGACATTTAGCAGACCGAATGTGTCAGCTGGAATTCCTTGGGGGATCAGGGCAAAGCCCACCCAATTCCTGCCTACCCTCAGACAACTGTTAGCAACATCACTGGCAATTCAGGAGAGTCCAGACTGCCCTGGCTGATACTTGCCACCTCTTTCCAAACACCTGTGCATGGGACATTCTAACGAGATGGCCCTGAATTAGAGCAAATGAATCTTGTCTGGCCTGCTTGAAAAACTGCCTGATGCCCAATACTAATGTACAGCAAGCCTATTTCACTTACAAAAGTCACAAGGAAGTGGGGGAACATTCTACTGTTTACAATACATGGCAGCTACATGAGAAGCTTATGCTACAAGCAACTCTGGTGGGAAAAAGACAAAAAAATTAAAAAGGAAAAGTAGTAGCAGCTGTTTGAGGAGCCCCACAACATACAGCTGCCTCAGTCTTTTTCAGCGGCTCAGGCAGAATCCTTATTCTTAGCGTGGTGGTTTCCCTCTGGCTCCAGCCCTGAACAGGGAAGGCCTTCTTGCTTGCCTGAATCAGTCACACAAATAATGTTGAGCTGCAAGAGAGGTTACTATGTCAAGGTGGAATGGCTGCTCCTGGCAACTTTGATGCAACGGTGCTTGGCATCTGGATCTGAGGACTCTTGGTTCTTCCTTAGGTCAGCACAGAACAGGACCTGACAAGAAAGGGAAAGGGCTGGATGGCACAAAGGCTTACAGATATTGAGAAAATGGGCCATATAAGGCATGACTGCAAACATGCAGGTCACCTGGGGATGGCAGCTAGGAGGAGAATTTTTTCCTGTGTCTCACTGCTGCAATCTAATTCAGATTTTTGCAGCCCAGATATATGCACTAATATAAGATGAGGGAGTACGGAAAAGTTTAGGATTAATGTCCTTATACCCTATCCACTAGAAACTGTATTCCCTTCTCCTAATTCCTATCTCTAATTCCTGAGATAATCACTGGACCTTTGGAGCCACTGTCAAGTGGTCAAACCATGAACTGCAGAGCCAAACAACATTCCTCTCAATTTCTTTCCATCATCCACCTGATCTGCCTCTAGCTGGGAAGTTGGGAAGAGAAAGTTGGGAAGAGAAAGTGGGAGCTTGAGGCCATCAGTGTTCATCAGGGTCACTGGAGAAGGCTTTAGTATCACCCTCCAGGAATCTCCATCATGGCTGCTCCTGTCTTGGTATATAGAACTGGAGGAACAAAGGGGGCTGTGCGAGGGGGCGTATCTACACCTGGATGGAGGTGGAAGGAAGAAAGGAAGGATCTGGATGGAGGTGGAAGAGGGATGGAGGTGGAGAAGGAAGGAAGGAAGGAAGGAAGGAAGGAAGGAAGGAAGGAAGGAAGGAAGGAAGGAAGGAAGGAAGG